CTGGGAACAGGCAACGCACCAAGCCCAGACAAGAGGGATCGGAGGCCTAGACAACCCGAACGTATGGTTTAACAACCTATGTGACGCCATTGAGCCAGTCTTACGAAACTGGGTCTCCAATTTTCAAGGGATTTATCAAGATAAGCTAGAGGACAAGACCCTAGCTATCCGGACCGTGGCCAAGAACCTACGCACGGAGGTCAGCCGGCGAGGCTTACAGCACCCGGCTAGGACCCCCGCAGCCCGGGTCAAACGAGGGGCCTTTGGCCCGACTTACAGCCAGGACCCGGATCCGGCTGACCGACCGGATCAGAAAGAGGATCCCGGTCAGGAAGGTCAACAGCCTGCTGGATCTGCCGGGCCCTCTCGGCCAAAACGGACCTCTAAGAAACGCAAGTCCGACCAACCGGTCTCCCAGTCAAAGAGGATGAAGTCCAAAGGAGCCCGAGATCAAGGAAACAATGGCCCTAGCTGTGACGCCTGCGGCGGCACCCACAGCTTAGCCAGTTGCTATTACGTTTTTCCCTCTAGGGCTCCTAACTGGTTTGAACCCAATCCTGTGATGGAGGATGCAGTCAAATACCGACTTTCCTGTCAAGACTTGAAGGATAAGCTTAAGGCGCTCAAGGGGCCAGCCGAACCGGCCGAGTCAGAATGACTAGGCCGGAGCGTTGGCTGCTGTTCCGATATGATAACGGCAGTCAAGGCCGCTTTTCCTGCTATGCGGTATCCCCTACGATGGTCAGCTATCCTAGACTCCGGGGCTACAATTCACATCTTCAACCTGATCAGCCGGTTCAAGGGATATCGGCCCGCAAGGGCTGATGACGTCCTTATTGCTGGAGAACACGAAGTCCGAGTCCTAGGCTACGGTCAGGTTGATATCATGACTAAGGGGACTAAGGGCACTAGGCTTATCCCTCTGTTTGATGTAGCCTATTGCCCTGACTTCCCTTGCAACCTCGTGTCCCTACGGCGTCTACAACGGCAGGGCTATTGGTGGGATACACGCCCAGAGAACAACTGTCTCCGGACAACAGCCGGATCGATCCTTTGCTATCTAGCTGACCGATATGACCAATTCGTCATAGAAGACATTCCATCGGATCAGCCGGAAGCCGCCTTTGCTATCCAGCACAGCCGGTTCAACTCATCAACCCGACCTAAGGCAATTAAACAGGATGCCCGCCGATGGCATCTGCGACTTGGTCATCCGGGGCCTCAAGCCCTAGAAAGGCTAGTCAACAAGGTCACAGGGGCCCGGATCAAAGGGATCACAACAGTTCAATGTGATGACTGCGGCACTTCGAAGATCACCCGGCAGGTCAGCCGCCGGCCGCGGGATCTTCCAACCGGACCCGGTCTAAGGCTAGCTATTGACTTCCACGATCTGGAAGAAGATCCAGAGGGAAGGGCTAGCCTGATGTTAATAACAGACCGCTATTCCGGCTACATCTGGGACTATTATTTGAAGACCCGGCAACACAAGGAGCTAGTCCCAGTCATCAAGGACTTCCTAGGTCATCTAGTCCGGCAGTATCAGCTGAAGCCTCAGGTCATTGAGTGTGATAGAGAGATCCTAGGGAAGTCTGAAGACCGGCCCCGGCTAGTGTTCAGATTCCTCACAGGGATGAACATCATCGTGGAGTCAACAGCCGCAGACACACCCGCTCAGAATGGCGGCGCCGAGTTATCCGGCAAGGTTATCAAGACTAGGGCTAGGGCCCTACGAGCCGGAGCCCGACTTCCTTCCTTCCTTTGGGTTGAGATCTATCGAGCTGCTGTCTATCTGTACAACCGGACCCCTCGAAGGGTCAATAACTGGGATACCCCTTATGCCCGGTTCCACACAGCTATAGCCCAGCGAGATGGTCACGGCCAGGAACGAAAGGTCCCCTATCTAGGTCACCTTCGAGCCTATGGATCCAAGGCGTTTGCAATGACCCAAGATGCCCTCAAGGGCCGCAATAAGCGGCAGCGGCTAAATCCCCGTGCCTGGATCGGCTTCCTTGTGGGATATCAGTCAACTAACATCTATCGGATCTGGAACCCAGCCACTGGGAAGATCATTTCTACAAGAGACGTCATTTTCAATGAAGACGAACAATTCAATGGAGACATCAATCAGCTAAAGTACGACCTATTGCTAGTCAGTAGGGAGGAATTAGACCGGCTGCTGAACCAGGTGGAAGAGACTCAACTGGATCAGTCTAGAGCAGAGGGGAAAACAGCCCGCAGTCTGACCCTAACCTGGGACGATGTCCACTATGAGGATCAGGGCGATGTTGTTGACCTAGGCTCGAAGGATCAGGTCGATGACCTAAGCCCTAGAGATCAGGTTGATGATATTGATCCAATCCCAAATGTGGACTCACAGACTAATAGGGACATAGGGATGACACCATCAGAGGTTAGGTCTGATCAACCAACCGGAACTGTTGAGCATTCTAGTATTAGGGTCGAGGAAGGTAATCAAGGAAAGCCGGGGGCAGAGAGAGCTGTCCAAGACAGCCGATTCGGAGCCCTTAGCGCCTATGTAGGTCAAGGAAAGCCGGAGGCAGGGGGAGCTGTCCAAGACAGCCGATCCGGAGCCTCTAGCGCCTGTGACCGCGCCTACTTGACTCCTGTGTCTTTACTGCCGGCTGCCCTACTAGCGATGACAATCCAAGAGGCCTCGGATCCACCAGGTAAGCTAGATCAATCGATCGAACGGTCTGACGTCTGGAAAGCTGCCTTCAATGCCGGAAGACTAGCTAGCCCGATAGGCACCCTCAATGGGGAAGTCATCGATAAGGCTAAGCTGCAACGGCTGCTGAAGAAACCTAGGTCTGTTCATCGCAGTCAGCTGCCACAGCTGCCGCGGCACCATCGGGATCTACAGCATCACCCGATGGGAGTCCAATTTGAACAGGCTGAACGGGATCACTTGCACAGTCATAGGGAAATGGAGTCATGGATCGAGATCGACCGAGATGACCCAAGAACCCTAGGGAAACAGACCCTTGACTGCATGTGGGTCTACGTCTACAAGCTTGATAAACACGGCAGGTTCATCAAATGCAAGGCCCGGCTAGTTGTTCGAGGGGACCAACAGCCAAAAGGGCTAGATGAAGAGACCTATGCTGCAACCTTAGCCGGAAGGTCGTTCCGGACCTTGATAGCAATTGCTGCCCGGTTTGACCTAGACCTCATACAATACGATGCAGTCAACGCCTTCGTCAACGCGAGGCTAGACAAGCAGATCCTGATGAGAATGCCCCCTGGATACAGAAAAGCAGGAAAGATCCTGCTTATCCAGAAAGCTCTATACGGACTGCGGGAATCACCCCTCCTATGGCAGAAAGAACTCACAGCCACACTCCAAGACCTAGGCTTCAAGCCGGTCCGGCACGAGCCCTGCTGTATGACAAAGGATGGGATCATCGTTTTCTTCTATGTAGACGATATCGTCTTTGCCTGCCGAAGGAACAGACGTCAAGACGTACAGAAGATCATTGCAGACCTCAAAGGTCGATATGACCTAACAGGCGGACAGGATCTTCAATGGTTCCTTGGAATTGAGGTCATTCGAGACCGAACAAAAAGACTTATCTGGTTATCCCAATCTGCATATCTAGACAAGATAGCTAACCTTGTGGAAGACCTAGATCAGCGACATGATACCCCTATGAAAAGGGAAGACCTTGTTCGATCAGATATCCCGGCCTCGATCCCTTCGATGAGACGATACCAACGGAAGATTGGATCGATCCTATATGCAGCTGTGATAACCCGGCCGGATGTGGCCTTTGCTGCGTCCCGGCTAGCTAGGTTCAATTCGAACCCAGGGCCTGAGCATCATCAAGCTGCCGATAGGGTCCTTCTATATCTCAAGAAGACCAAGAACCTAGCCCTTCAATTCGGCCAAGACGATCGTTTCCTTGTGGCCAGCGACGCCTCTTTCGCAGATAACCTCGAAGACCGGAAAAGCTCCCAAGCCTATGTCATGAGACTGTTCGGAGGCACGATCGGATGGAGAGCCAATAAGCAGACAACGGTTACGACATCAACGACCGAGGCCGAGTTGCTGGCCCTATCTCAAGCATCTAAGGAAGCTATATTCATCACCCGGCTAGTCAAAGAGCTAGGGATCCAGCTGGAAGAGGAAAAGATTCACATTCAATGTGATAACCAGCAGACCATCCGGCTCATCCACAAAGACATCAACAAGCTACAAACCAAGCTACGGCATGTCGATATTCACAACCATTGGCTGAGGCAGGAAGCTCAGAGGAATAGGATCCAGGTGGACTACATACCAACCGACCAAATGATCGCAGATGGCCTCACGAAGACCGTCAGCAACCTGACCTTCCAACGGTCCGTACAGCAGCTAGGTCTGGTTAACATCTCAGACCGGCTAGGGCAACGGAGGCTGCAGGAGCTGAAGGAAGAAGACCTAGAGGGTCCGGGGTCATCCTAGGGATATCGGCAGCTTCAACCTACCCGGCTTCAGCTGGGGGGTGTGTTGGATTGACCCTCGTGTGGCGGCATAAACCTCTGATACAAAGATATCCTAGCCTTAGTCAGATGACATAAAACCCCTCTCGAGAAAAGAGGGGGCCGGAGGGATCCTTGATCAAGAACATGATAATCTTTTGGCTCGACATCGTATTAATCCCTATCACTCTGATCGAATGTGCGGGACGCGATCCAACACATACCAAATTATAGAAAAGCCAAGAAATTAACCAAGATGGAGCCGTTATCCTTGTAAAAGAGAGAATCACAAGCAACGTTCCGGAACCCCCACCTGAATCTGCCCCTCCAAAGTCCCCCACCTCCACCTGCTCCCGTTCCTCTTCGGCTCCCCCGCATCCATTCCTTCCAGATCCGTTCCGCCATCCGCAAAACCCCAAAGTCCCGTTCCGCGACAACCCGGCTCTACGGATCACACCCGTCCATCGCCAATTCTTCCTCCTCCATCTTTCTCCCCATCGCCCCAATTGCCTCTTCGAAAAATGGCCCAACCTCAAGGAAACCTCGCAAACCTCCTCCCCCCCTCGTGGAAGACTTCCGTCACTGCCTGGCTCGCCGAGGATACTCCCTCGTTCGACTATGCCGGCTTCGTTGTCGGAGACGAGCCCCGCGTCGCGACCCTCTGGGGTAAATCGGCTGGTGTCATTGCCGGCCGGCCCTTCTTCGATGAGGTCTTTACTCAGTGCGGCTGCACCGTCGAGTGGCATGCCGACGAGGCTACGGCCGTTGATCTGAGCAACGGCAAGCACCGTGTCGCCACTGTCAAGGGACCCGTCCGCGGAATCCTCCTCGGTGAGCGCGTTGCTCTCAACACACTCGCGAGATGCTCCGGTATCGCTACAAAGAGTCAGAGGCTAGTGATGATCGCCCGCAAGGCTGGATACAAGGGTGTCATCGCAGGCACAAGAAAGACAACCCCCGGGTTCCGTCTTGTTGAGAAATATGGCATGTTGGTTGGAGGCGCCGATGCGCATCGCATGGACCTCAGCGCCATGGTCATGCTCAAGGACAACCACGTTTGGAGCCGAGGCAGCATCACCGATGCCGTCAAGGCTGCCAAGTCTGTTGCAGGCTTCAGCATGAAGGTCGAGGTTGAGGTGCAGAGTGAGGCCGAGGCCGACGAGGCCATTGAGGCAGGTGCCGACGTCGTCATGCTCGACAACTTTACCGGCGATGGCGTCAAGGTTGCTGCGCAGAGCCTAAAGCAGCGTTGGCAAGGGAAGAGGCACTTCTTGCTCGAGGTGTCAGGAGGCCTGCAAGAGGACAACTTTGAGGCCTACTTGTGCAATGGTAAGCCATGTTGCCCTGTGTCAAAATTCTTCGCTAACAGAGGCAGACGTGGATATCCTATCGACGAGTTCGATTCACCAGGGTGTACCGCATATCGATTTCTCACTAAAGATCGAGCACTAGATCAAAATACAAGATATCCAACAGCATCATTCCCACTGTGATACTTCTCACGCTCATATATATGCCATCTTAATCACCCGCAGGGACCTCACCCTGGCCCACACCAGGATTGTCGATCAAGTCATGAGCATCAAAAACTCACATGCCCGGCCAAGTCCAAGGGCAGCGTTGTCTATCCCTCAGGGCGAAATACAAGTCGAAATCGTAAATCTTCCCTCCAGCCATCCACAAGTTTCGAGTTGGTGCACAAATACACTTAGTTGACTCTTCTTGAGTGGCTTCTTTGAAACCACAATGAGGTGGACATTCAATACTGATTAGATGTCCATGCCGCCATGAGTCTAGAAAACCGGTGGGACGTTCCAGTAAGGTAAACTCAGACACGGCATCGTTGAAAAGTCCAGATTAAATAAACCCTTCACCCAAAAATAAAAACTCGCCGAGAAGCTTTGGGACCAGCAAGACTGTCTCACAGCGGCTCCAAAGGGTCCTGACACCAACGCCTGAGCTAGTCTCGACAGCGGCAACGATACCACGGGTGTGTCTGATTTCGTGGGGCTATCTGGCCGCTGCGCATTCATCTGAGGATACTTAGGTGCATCACCTTCAAGGTGATGAGACAGATTCATTCTGCACACGAGGTAGTTCAAGTGACCAAGATGCTTCGCCGTAAGCATGGATGAGGACAGCTCTGAAAATCTCTACTCATCATAACTATCTTGAAACTGGCCTCAAGAAACATCAACAGAGCTTTACCCAATCACAACTCTCAGCCAGGTCATCATCTAAAGATAAGTAGCCCATGTCTTACAAGACATTCCAGAACGTCAACGTCTCGGCCAGTCTCGGCCTCAGTCCAAGACCACGGCTCAACACCATCAATATGAAACTCGTTCTACGCAATGTCACGCGTCACATCAAAAAGGGAACTGTCTTGGCGTAATCACTGTGCCATTTCATGTCTATCGACAAGCTTCTCTTTATCAGAGGCATGCAAAACAAAACACCCTTTTGGTAAACCCCAACGGGCCTAACTCGGATCTCATCGTTGGCTATCATCTGCAGCCAGAACAAGTCCTTCTGTGAGCCAGGCAATGAATAGAATCTGCGTGCGGTTCATTCGTGAGAAAAAGACCAACACAGCCATTCTTCCTTATCCCTTTCCATCCCTCGCGCGCCGTTTCCATCCGATGCGATTTTCATCAAAGACGCCAGGCATGTAGAGACAAGAACATGAGAAGAAAAAGTCGGCCAAGTGGCCATGTTTGGGCAAAGAAGATCGTAAAAGTACGATGTTGCGTAACGTACATTTGAGAATCGAAAATGAGAAAAATGAAAAATAGTGCCTTGGACGCGGACTACCGGCTACGTTTTATACACTCGCAGTATGCAAGTGACGTGCCCAACCAAGAAATACCTGGCTTATCAAATCCGGAGGTGTAGACAGCCTTTACCACTCGTGACGAGAGGGGCCATTCGTGCCTTCTTAGACGGTGACGCGCTTCTCACCCTTGGGCTGGAGGACGTTGTCGCCGTAGCGGCCGCCAAAGTTGCCTGAGATAGACAGTTAGCTTCTGAATTGGAAGTGGTTTAGGAGTGTAGGACTTACCCTGAGGGTTGTAGTTGCAGACGGTGTACCAAGAGGGGTACTGGAGGACGGAGCCAGCAGGGCACTTGACAGTGGCGCAGCCGACCTTGGTGGAGTCCTTCCAGACAACCTGGGTGAAGTGGCCGTAGAGCTGGATGTCCATGCCATCAGGGGGGTTCTCCTGGCCGTAGAAGGCCCAGTTGCCCATCTCACTGTTGTACCACTGGTTGGTGATACCGCCAGCGGCGGACTTCTTCTGCATGTCATCGATGTCACCAGTAGCACCCCAAGAGGCGAGGTTCTGGCCGTAGCCACCGTTGCCCTGCGTCCTATGTAGGGGTTAGTGTACAGTTCAACAACACATTAGACTTATACTTACATGTCGTGCTCGAAAACGCAACCGTTGGCGGTGTTCTCAGCGTAGCCGGCAAGGGTATCGTCCCAGATCAGATCGGGAGCAGAGTGGTTGGCGCGGTGGATGTTGTGGTAGTTGAGCATGATGGAGGTGTAGTCACCCTCGAGGGACAGGTCGTAGGAGCCGCTGGAGCTGCCAGACTCCTCAGTGGCGACGGGCTTAGCCTCCTCCTTGGAGGTGGTGGGCTCCTGCTTGGTGGTGACAACGACAACCGAGGGCTTCTCCGTCGTGGGCTCAGGCTCAGGCTCGACGTAGGTAGGCTTGGGGGCGGGAGCCACCTTAGTAGTGGTAGGCTGCTGCTTGGGTCGGCGGCTCACAGGCTTCTTGACCTCGGTGGTGGGCTCGGGAGCAGGCTGCGAGGGCTCCTCGAGGAAGACAACGGCGGTGGGAACAGCCTTCTCGGTCACGGGGGCATCGCCCTCAGTGACAGTGACGGTAACATACTCATAGACCCACTCGGTGGTGAGAGCACGCTTCACGAGACGCTTCTCGAGAGGAGCACGGATGGGGCTGGCCGAGGCCAGGATGGCGCTAGCGCCGACAAGGAACATAGACGCCTTCATGGTGAACGGTACAGAAGCACGAGACGAAAATGAGGTGAACTGGAATCGAGTCAGTTAAATAAGCTCGCAGGGAATTAGGTGTGGCTGAATTCGGTTGAGTCGACAAGGAATCAATGCCGCTTGGCAGGTGCTGTTTTCGAGGACGTTGGACGAAAGCGATAAGCTGGCTGGACAAGGGAGTGGAATGTTGTTTCTTGCGGGGAATGTGTAAAGGAGCGTGGATGAGAACGTGTAAGACATTTGTTGATAGTCAAGATTCGGGGAAGGGGGTCCATGAGCGACATGATATCTGCATTTTGGTGTTGCAGATGCAGCCCCTCCCCCAAAGGGAGAGGCTTTGTCGTCGATATCGTTTCTGACAGCAAAGGCGGGCGCTTCCTTTGTCGGGGTGCTTTGTCGAGGGCGACACCAGATGGTGTTTACACAAGGGAGGAAAATCGATAGTTGCTCCATCAAAGGCTGAGACGGTGGAGAACAAGGCGAGACAATGAAGACATGGAGCGGATGCAGGAACACGGGGTGCGAGGCTCAGACAAAGTGACTCAGGCTTACCTTTGTGGGATGTTTCGAGGTTGGTGGCAGTGGTTAGAGTGTCGCGTTGGGATAGTCGGACTATCGGTGGTGATTCAGAACCAGTCTGGGAGCGGTCGACAGCACTGCTGAAGCTGAGGATTCCGTCTAGGAGCCTCGGAGTATCAAGAGTTGGTGTGGTTGGACAACAAAAGTTGAGGTCCAACGATAAAGGAATGACAGAGAAGGGAGAGCCGAAGGAGCGACGACTTGGTCTGCTTTGCGATGCCGAAGGGGAAATCGGGGAGGAAGTCGAGGGCTATTTCAACGGTTCAACCGGAGGGGCTTGGCTTTGAGTTTTGTAAAAGGAGTGGACTGCAATGTCGTAGACACGCAAACAAAGGAGTGGACAGCCGAAGGTGGAGGAGAAAAGAAGGTCGGGCCCTGCTAGCGGTCGACGAGACTCTTGAACTTGGAGGGGGGTGAAGAGGGAGAGGGAAGAGGTCGAGATGGCTTCGGGCGGACGAGGACGTTAAAAAGGAACCGCACGGCGGGTCGCAGACGGCCGGCCGCTGCGAGACCAGGGATGATTGGCTGCGCGGTATGGATTGGATGCTTCGCAGGGGATCCAGGGATCTCGCCGGGGGCTGCAGAGGAGTCGAGCGAGTGCCTGGAGGAGGTGAGCCGGGGGGTCTGCGAGGGGTGCGCTAGCATGGCAGGGGTCGCATCGCAACACGTACAATGAGAAAATGAGTGGAAGGTTTGTTAGTAGAGCGCCTGGGCGAGGTCTGAGGCCTGTCGGTGGCGTCTCTTGGAAGTGTGAGAGTGGAGGGGAGGCGGACAGAGGTGGAGGCGTTTCGAAGGGAAAGTGGAAGGGCGACGCCCCAGAAACGGGAAGGAAGGACCCCAGCGAGGAGGAGATGAGGCTTGTTTGGGGCGCCTCGCCAAGGGCATGGCAGCTGGCCAGCACTGGCTGTGAGGTTCCAATGCACTGCGCTGCACTGCTGCTAGACTGACCCCTGGCGCTGAGCGCTTCCAGAGTGGGGTCGCGTGCGCTAGGGACATGCTTCCCTGTTGGGCGCTAGAAAGATCGTGCTGCAAGGCACCAGGCACAAGGCAATGCGCGGGTGCCTTGGAGTCCAGGCATGACGAATGAATGTCTAGGGTGTCGGGTGGCATGGGAGCTTGGGAACTTGGCAGAGCAGATTGAATATGTCAACAGCTCAACAGGTATTCACTACAGTTCAATACAGACAACTTGACATTCAATAGCTCCTCCTTACAATATTTCTAGCGTCAAACATGACTCCATTCTCCATCGAACAAGCTAGCAATGGCGATACATCTCCACGGCGATGGCCTTCCTCGGTCGTCGGCAAACGCACGGACCAACCCTCAACCTCGAACAAGTCGATAGAACCCCTGCTTTTCTGCTCCCCTTTTCCCGCGCCTTTTTGACGCCTCTGATGAAATGGAAGAGCCCACCTGGACCGCAAGAAGCGCTGCTGCCCGCGCTGCTGCATCGCCTGGGTCAAGCCCAACTGGTGCCGCATTAGCGGACGCTGACACATCATCCATCACTGGCTTCGCATTCTGCATTCTGCATTTGTGCATCCCCGGGTCTGGGCAAGTTTCAAGGAATACGCCGAAACACGTCAGGAAAGAGATCTACGACGAGGCTTGCATCTTGACTTCTTTCTTTGACTTGGTGAAGCCCATCGCTTAGGCGGCTGATGCGGCGGTCGAGACAGCGCTCAAGCATCGAGCGAGGCAATCAAACACGCGACCAAAGGGCCCCCGGCCAAGCTCAAACAGAAGCGGGATGAGAGCAATCAGCCGCGCATGCCCTTAGCTCCCCTCCTATGTAATTGATCTAATCTCTCATCTGGCCTGTTGTTTTGATGCTGAATTTGGAGTTGCCGATGCAAGCTGTTGGTGGTTGCCTCTTTTCTGCACCTCGATGCCGTCCTATCCTCTCCCCTGGACTCATCATCCCCCCATCATTGTACCTAAACGAGAGACCACTCACTCTACTTCTAACATCATACCTTGTCATCTCTCTGGCCAACAAGCTTACCCCCGATCGGTACCGGGCCCTCCGAATCGGCATCCAAATCGAATCGAGGCCCTTCTCCGCTGCTGATCAGCTCTCATAACGTTGAGGGAGAGTGATCTAGCCCTCTGACTCGCCCATCCTTTCCTCCTCTAATGATCTCCAACCAGGCACCCCCCAGGAGCGAGCGGTCCACAGCTGATCATGCTGGAGAAAGCTGGGCTTGGCTGGTGGATAGTTGCTTGCGTGTTCCCCAAGAAGCCAAAAGCCAAGTCTGCCAGCCCTAGGGGACATGGCAAGCCTCTGGTATCCAATGCGTACGTATTCCACATTCGCCATCTCGACTAGCCTGGGCTTCAATTGCCGGAGGCGTACTGGCCCCGAGGAGCCGAAAAGCCTCGCCCTTCGGTAGTAAAAATCCAAAGAGCTGGTTTCCGTTTGCGGGTTACACGGACTAGCGTCTGAGCCAGAATGCCACAATCGCAGAAGAGCTTCAGGTTAAGATTATGCCTCGTATCCCCTTTGGAAACATGGGCATCCGATGCATTCTACTGCAAGAGGTCGAGCATCAACAAACACGAAACGCATTCCTTCAGGTCGTGATCTACCATGCATTGACCTCACCTGTGTTGACCAACGGGAGCTGGAGGTGTACGTACCTCTTCCCCTTCCCCGTCCCTTGCAGCTTGTAGATGTGGCGCGTGCTGTGGCGAATGCTGTTGGTCGGCTTTAACCAATGGAAACCCCGTCGGCCGCCCTTTCCCCACCAAACAAGCTCCCGGGAGTGGAGAGCCTCAAACCACCTCTTCGCAGCGGGTTGAGGCGGGGCCTGCAAGCCTTGGAAACCCGCTAAGGCCGTGCTCCGGCACTCTCTCTGAAACGGGACTAATTTGGCTGCTCCGTTCTTCATCTCCCGACCAGGGAGGCCATGGCATCTATGCTGCATTGCCAACAACAAACGGCTGCTGCGCTCTTTTGCGGTCTGTCATGACTTGTCACCGCCTGATCTAAGCCTGGTCAAATCAGAATTGCTCATCTCATGACCGCCATCAAAGACCCCGTCCTGGATGTCATCGGTCATGTCCAAGGCCCCGGGAATGCTTCACAAATGGCCTCAAATTCGGCCGTCTTTTCCTTGCTTCAACCCGTCGAGTTCCACATTCGGGCATTGGCACGTCGCAGAGTAACATTGGCAGTTCTCTCCTTTGCTGCAGGCTGCCAGCACTGGTGGACCCAACCCAGGAGCCTGGGTCCAGTCCCGATATTTCCTTCACCTCCTCGACTGGTTGTCTGATCTGCTGCAGGCCAGCCATGAACTGACCATGGCAGATTTCTTTCAATGTGTGACTGCGTTGGCTTCAGTGGGCACATTGCTTCGTTGGACGTACAACCAACCCTTTCTCAGCTGCCTTGGTTTGTTCTCGCCTCACACACCCCCTCCCTTTTTGCCTCCCTCAAAGCCAAGGAAGCCATCACGCTCATTGTCTCGAAACTACCAAGCTGACGAGACGGCGATTCAACCCCGATCTCCGAAAGTGGACGACATGACACGGAAATCCTCTAGTCCCGTTCTCTCCCACAACCCGATCACAGACTAATTGACATTGAGTTTCTGAAGCAATGCCTCCGCCTCGTGGCGTCCAGCTTCATTCCTTTCAACACCACGATCGTAACTTTTTTTTAAAGAATTCCAGTAATCCCGAACCGGTCTCTAACTTAGTCTCCGGGATATGAGGTTGTCCAGATCCCGGTGCTTCGTGGCCTAGCAGAGTTTATCGATCAGTAGCCGAGTCTCATTTCGATGCCGGCCGCACCAAAGACTCGGATATCCTCGTCTATCGGGTTTCAAGACCGGGCAGAAAACGTAGTATGTCCCGGTCCGAACCTCTACATCGGCTCCGTCTAGTTGGGTTTTGTGCCTGTCAGTGTAAGTCATGGCTGAACCCAGACGCAATATCCGGCTCGACGTCTATTTCATCCTCCATTCGTATAGCTCATGGAGACGTCGTATTCATGTCAAGTTGGTGATCCATCCCAATCCTTCATCATCCTTTGAACTTTGATTGATTGTAGTCCCCATCGCCAATATCCCAGTATCCCGGGCATACCCCAACACATGGCTCCCCTGCTCCCCACAAGCCCCTTTCACTCTCTCCCTCATCCCACATCGTGCGTGACATCTCACCATTTAATCACCGACTCGAAAAGCAATAAGGAAAAAAAGAGGGAAATTTCGCCAGTCCACGGCTCTCCGGCACGCATCCAGAAGCACGAGAATCCTCCCCGCACGGGCTCTTTTCATGCTGGGGATGTTGGGCCTCTCACAGCATGATTACACACGTCGGGGGAGGTCATCTCCGGACGTTGCTGTCGTCGGAACAACGCAGAGACTTGTTGTCTGTGCATTATGTGCGATGTGATATGTCGATCAGTCAGTTGGTTGGTTGATCAACGTGGAGGCGCAGATTGGCGGTTTGAGGTGCCAAGCAGAGTGTTGGTGTTGGCAACATGTGCACTCCACCATGAAACGTCGGTGGGATTTTTCGTCTGAACTGGTTGGATCATGAAAATGAAACTGGTTCATCTTGTTGGGAGACGATATTCTGTTCTTGACCGTTCTTTCCAGCCTGTTGGTTAAACAGATGTTTATACCTGAGGCATGAGTTGGCGGTAGTCAAGGGTAGGCATCATCAGGTTGGAGGCTGTATTCACCAGTTCTCTGACGACGAAACACGCCCGATACCAGTATCACGTTGACAACTCACCGAGGAATTTTTGGGTGTCCTTCAGAGCAGGTAAGGCATTGAGGCCAATGTACATCTTTGTTAGGTAGAGTGCTGCTCGTTGACGCACACACTTTAGCATCTGTGTTTTCTCACGCAATTAAGCTTCACATTTCGGTGCATTCAACAATAGATGACTCTTTTCATGAGTCAAAGATGAAAGTTTATCAAGAAACAGCTATACCAATTCTCATTATTTAAAGCCTTCGTGTGTCCCGCTGTCATTGTCACTCCAACTTTCTTCCTGACAACCATAGTTCGATAGATTCCATAGGTTCTAGGGCAATAGGCCGAGGATGTGCATTCAAACCATGTAAAACAGTTGCGGCGATGATGAAAAAGCCTGAAGTTGATCATTGCGGCGCGGCCACGCATGACATTTCGGCTATTATTCTGAGTCACATTGATTTATTGCAATTATGTTTAGTCAATAACTGTCAAAGTTGGCAGTTGTTGTCGT